AAAGTAAGCTAGTGTATCTCGAGAGAGTGCAATAGTAAATTACTGTGATTACTCGGGAGAGATTTACGGTAAGATTAGCGGTCATGATTGATAGAGATGTGTGGGTAAATTTGTATAAGCATAAACAGAAGGGATTCCATCAATAGGGGAAATCATTGCCTTAGCTTTTTATCATAATTGTTTACAACCTTATTAGTTTAGTTTACAGCTATTTAGTTACTTGCAAGCGTAGTTGTTAAAGAACATTCAACTAAGATTTGAATATTTGGGAAGCTGGTTCTGAAGAATTAGTGGGTCTGAAGATAGTGGTTTATAGGTTAACTCTCTGTGGATTCGACCCTGGGCGTAATACTCGGGTTATATTTGCAACGTCCGCAGAGTCCTTTTTATAAGGCATAGTTGGGCGTGATCAATTGTCTCACCTCCTTTTTACTACCCCTGAAAGGATATAAGCGAGTTTTTTCCAATTTAAGTGACAATCGAAAAGGGATTATTTATTTAAAAATCAGAGTCGCCACTTGGGATAATTTATGGTGTCCCAAGTCTCCGATTTAGAATCCCGAATCGAGGAAAGATTTGACTCTGTTTATGTCTGCGAACACAGAAATTCGGGTAAGGAATTCTGTTAACCCGGGAGAAGGTGTTAGGCACTCGCGAATTCCGTGGTTTTAGCACGGTCGCTTTGATCATACTTGGCTTATTAAAATGTATAATTACTGATTTTAGAACCTATGTACATTTACCTTTCGCCGCTTTTTAATTAAGAAAATTATCTTGAAACGGGTCACGCGTACGTGTACCCATTTGTTTGGCGCGTCAAAAATCATGTCACGCGAACGTGTCCACAATTAATAACGCTTTATGATTATTAAGGAAAGTGGCCCGAAGTTGCGCGAACGCATACTCCAATTTTATTTTTTAGAGCTCGCAATCATGTCACGCGAACGTGTGCACAACCGCGGTGATATATTAAACGGGCCTAGAGCAACCACGAGCATTTATCATTTTTATATCTAAGTTATGAAATTAATACGAGTACCATGTATGATTAAATGGTGGATGCACACCCCGGACTATATGAACTAAATTCAATTAGTGTCCTATTAAAATAATTTTATTATTAAGAAAATTTATTCGAAGTTGCGCGAACGCATACTCCGAATTGGTGTTTTTAGAATCGTAATCATATCACGCGAACGCGTACACAATCACAATAATATTTTAAACACGACTAAAGGCTTGCTAGCTATGTGAACTAACTTGACTTGATTAAATTACATTGATAAAGAAAATAAATTTTACAATATCCGAAAATAAAACATGGGAAACTTAAAATATGTCCTTTTCAATGCATAAACTGTGTCCAAAACCCAGATTTCAATTAATTCCAATTTACGAGATAAATGCTGATCCATCAACCCAGTTAAGTGAAACAGTCCAAAACATATGTTCAGCAATTACATATGAAATTAACACTCATTTTCTTTTAACAAGTCCCATAACAAGACGGGAACTCGCTCGGCGCCGAACACCCAAACAAATTCCAACGCGGGCAGAATTTAAACTCATCTCTATTGAAATCAGAAGACACGAAACTTCGAAATTCAAGTGACCTCTACAACAAACTAGCTGCAAGTTCGCCGACTTCCGGCGAGCTGTTGTGAACGGGAAGAGGCAGAAGCAGCGATGGGTGAAGGGAAGCGAGCTGCCGTGACTGCGACGGGGAGGGACTGCTCCGATCTCTGTTACTCCTATCTGCTTTTGTTTTCCCGTTTCACCCTCTCTCTCTATTCTGTTTTCGTCCCCCTTATCAAAAATGTGTGTGTGTTATAAAGAAAGAAAAAGAAAGGGAAAGATACCCCACACCCCCCAAAACGTGCGCAGGCCATCTGATAGGAAAAATGGGAATTCCCCTATACATGAGTCCAAAATTAGTTATGCATAGATATGAAGGAATCTTTTGCAACCATTTTGATTGGCTTTATTTGTCTTCTCTTTTTGTGATAAACCAAAATGAAAAATACTAAACTAATATTTTAACTATAATACTACTAAGAAATGTTTTAACATTACTAGTTTTACGAAGTAGAGGGAAAACATATTTTTTTTGTAAATTTTCTTTTCTTTTGCAAATAAAATACATCTTATATCTAAAAGTGTAATTCTTTTTTGTAGTATTTTCTTTTCTTGATAATAAATAGTAAACAAAATAATCTACTCCTACTAACTAAGTAAATAAAAAGCAAGGTAAAATTGTTACACTCAAACTGCTAACTTAAAACTTGTACCAAACTAGATAAAACCTTTTCTTTTTGTATTTTATTTTTTGAAACTTTTCTTTCTTTGTAAATGACAAATAAAACTAATACTCTAAAATATGTAACTCTTTTTTTTGTAATTTTTATTTTCTTGTAATAAAATAAAGTAAAAGAGTAAAAATTAGTTGAAATAGCTATATTAGGCCTAAATTAAATATTTACGTACTAAAATATGAAAAATCTTGGGGAGGGTCAAAAATCACATGTCTACAATGATGAAGAAAACGCAGAAAGAGTAGGCTTTCTGTTACATTTTGGTTTGGCCATTTAGGCTGGATTTGACTGTGTGTGGTGGTGCTGGTGGCAAAGTTATGGTGGAGTAACAGTTGGGACATAACAGTGATGAAGAAAAGGGAAAAATAATAAAATAGAATTTGGTAAACTGGTAACAAAAAAGTGGAACCTACAAATTACACGTGTTGAAAAATAAAACTATCAAAGCATTACACACCAATTTTAAGTGGGAACTCAAACTGTTGTTTTAATTACTCTTCTAATGATCCTATTTGTTCGAGGAACGCTACTTCTTGATTTTTATTTGCTTTTTGTATTTGAAATCTGGTCCTTTATGGTGGACTGTCATTTTAAAGTCTGAACCCTTTCTATTCTCTCGTGGGGGAAATTTGAACTGGAGTTCCGTTTTATCTTTTGGAATTTGGAACCCTCCAGACTATATAGATTCTCTATCAGTTCCCACTTTAAGTAACAGACTGTAAAACCAACCAGTATAAGATATCAGGTCCTCTAATTGTTCCCACAGTAACTTGGCAGTAAATAAAGAACACAGAGGATTTTTACGTGGAAAAATCCCAACTCAAGGGGACAAAAACCACGACCTACACTTGTAGGCTTTCAACTTCACTAACTTGTAAACACACTATTACAAGCCACTTTGTAACGACTCTATTACAAAGACTTCAACTCAACTAACTTGTGATACACTTAACACAAGCCACTTTGTCACTCACTAGTTACAAAGACTTTAACTCAACTAACTTGTGATACATTTACCACAAGCCACTTTGTCACTCACTAGTTACAAAGACTTCGAAACTAACTTGTGATGCACTTACCACAAGCCACTTTGTAATAACTTTATTACAAAGACTTCACAACCCGACTAACTTTAGCCAAGACACAAACACAAGGGTTTATGATTTTACAAAGGGTTTCTTACACAATGCTTCTAACTAAGCTAAGTAGGAGTTACAAATGAAGAACAAATAACAAAGACTCAACAAACCTAAGGACTTAAGATATCTTCAATCTTTGGATCTGGTCCTTGAGGTTGTAGCGGCTTTGTTCTTGAGAGAGGTTGTGTCTAGCTAAAGTATGCCAAATGATTTCCAAGAGATGAATCTTTTGAAATTAAATAACTCCACCAATATAGACTTCATCGAATATATGTACAAAAGAAAAAGACTATTTAAACAAAGCTCAACAGTGAAATACTATGAATTACTCATGTTTTGCGTCGTTTTCTAGAAAGTTACAGAAGAAAAGTGTGTTATTGCTATAGTGAGCACTTCCAGTGCTATAACCTCAAATGACATGTAAACTTCTTAATAACACGATGATAATGCAAAAAAATATCCACATAATACTCCAGGAAGAAGTGATTATTAACTAAAGCATGTCAAAATATTTTCAAGAAATGGTCTAATACAAGCTAATATTACCTTCAAGTCCATCTAGGTGATGTTTGATATGTTGGATGTAGCAAGATTTCCCTTAATTTTTTCAATCCAAACACGATCTACAACTTGACTGTTCTCGCAACAATGCATCGTCAATATGCCGTGAAATCTCCATAACTTGTGATCAATGGAACATTCTGGCTATAAGAATAAACACGATACTTGTGGCAAAAACTTTTTGAGGATGAAAAGAGTTGCAATTTCCTGCCAGGACAGTGTTAAGCTGCAAATATAAATTATAATTCCGAAGCCAATTTGAGACACCAAAGTTTACGAAAATGTTATTTACTTGCTTGGAAAAAATGTGGAAAACAAAGTAAAAGTACAAGAAGGATACCAGTTTGAAACATAACCAAGTCTTCAAAAATCTAACACATCGAAGCTTACTTAATGAGAGATGGACTATTCTACGAGGGGGAAAATAAAAATGCAGCTAGATTTGGCAAAATTAAACCATGTTTTTAATGTTCAGGGTGCCAAGTGATTTGAATTAATTATTTTCAAAATATACACATATACATAAGTAAGGTTCCTACGAAATTTTATAGGGTTTGATGATCTCTCAAGTTATGTATAGGTCCGCCATTGTCTGTGGACCATCTTCGACAAGCATTTCGATTTCCATAGAGTACAAGTTAGTAAAAAATGGCTCCACCTTTTCGTTGAGTTTTATTTGGAGTTTGGACAAAGGCGCAGGTAGATACAGTAACAGGCAAACAAATAGTATACTGTATTCCATTTGAAAAGTCGTAATTAAGGGTTTGAAGTCTCTTGCTCCCAATGTTTCCAGCCTTGAATCTGAAGAACAAAGTTCCAAGACTTTAGCAAATGGACTATTAATAATCTGAACTCTGTCATCAGCTATGGACCATATTGGACAAGTCATTTGGAAACCAAAGAAAAGTAGATGGTTCTTTTGACAAAGGCATAGGTAAAACGTATATTTCATTTATTAATTTTATTGGTTGATTAAAAAGGCCTATTATAATTGAATATTATTAAGAATGCTCATATTGCCACAAGATATAATTATTATAATGTTACATCATATCTAATCTACTAACTAAAAATCCTATATCTAGCTGAGACTGTTGATTCATATACTAGATGAGATTGGCCATAAGACCTATTACAAGACCAATAGCAGACAACAGAAAGACAACAGACATTCCTTGCTCAACCTTCGTATTCAATTTTCTTAGTTCTTTTTTACATAGCAGTGGTAGTTAAAGTTGAACGAAGTTTAAATTTACAGTAAAAATGCCATTTTGTAGACAAAAGAACAACAGCACATTCCCTTTCCACAGCTTCGAGTCACAGTATCCAGTAGTTCCTCATTCCATTGTCTAACTGCCAACTGCTTGAACAACATTCTAGTTGTTTAGTCCTGCAACAATGATTAGTCAAGAATGCTGTAAAACATTATATTCAGTAGTTATGGTTCCTTTAGACATTTGCAACAGATAACATTTTTTAGTTTTAAATTCAAGTATTTTATTTTAGTTTTGTTCAATTTTTTATTCTTTTTTGGCTGTATTTTGTCAGGTGAACAAATTAATGAATTAGGAACCAATCAGATGAGTAAGCTATTAAAAGGACCCAGCCGCATTGTTGTCTTGGTTAATTAATTAGCATATTATTAGTTGATTTTTGTCGGGTTGTAACGACCTGGTCGGTCGTTTTTGGAATTTACGCCCCGATCCCCTATTAACTGCTTTCCCCAAGTTTATTTCTGCTATTTTGATTTGCCGGTGAGTTTCGGAGAGTTTTGGGACACTTAGTCCCTAAATGAGAGCTTAAGTGTTGGAAAGTAGTCCGTAGTCAGAACAGTATGAAGACGGTCCCGGAATGGAAATCCGATGGTTCCGTTAGCTCCGTTAGGTGATTTCGGGTTTGGGGGCGTGGTCGGATTGTGTTTTGGACGTCCGTAGCTAATTTAGGCTTGATATGCCGAAGTCTGAATTTTTGAAGTTTCCGGTCCGATAGTGAGATTTTGATCCGAGGGTCGGAATAGAATTCCGGAAGTTGGAGTAGTTCCGTCATGTCATTTGGGATGTGTGTGCAAAATTTCAGGTCATTCGGACGTGTTTTAGTTAGGTTTTTGATCGAAAGCGTATTTTGAGGAAATTTGAAGTTCTTAGGCTTAAATCCTCGATCGATTCGAGTTTCCGACGTTGTTTAGGTGGTTTAAGGATTGGTACAAGTTTGAATGAGGTATTAGGTGTTATTGGTGCTTTTGGTTGAGGTCCCGGGGGTCTCGGGATGATTTCGGATGGTTGACAGAAAGATTTTTGAAGTTAAGAGATTGTAGATTTTTGCTGCTTCTGATGTTTTCGCATCTGCGGTTTGTGAACCGCAGATGCGGCAAGACAACCACAGATGCGGGTTTTGGGTGTCCCTTCAGGTTCCGCAGATGCGGAAGTTTAACCGCAGAAGCGGTTTCGCATCTGCGAAAGAAGAACCGCAGATGCGGCTCCTGGGCTCTTTACTGAAAGTTGCATATGCGACATTTTGGTCCGCAGATGCGGAATAAGCTGGGCAGAAATATGAAATTTCGAGGGTTTGGTTTCAAAAGTTGGAAAATTGAATTGGAGCTCGGGAGAGGGCGATTTTGAGAGGGATCTGAAGAGGAGATCTCTGGGTAACGATTCTTTAACCCTTTCTAGTTATATTTCATCAATCTTTAGTTAATTTCATCATTAGATTTCGGAATTTTGGTGGTTCTTAGACCTTTAGTTGAGGATTTGAGGGGTCATTTGTACTCCGATTTCAGTGTTCTTGTTATGTATAGACTCGTGAGAGTACGAGGTTTCTAAAAATATAAATTTCACTCGATTCCGAGACGTTGGCCTGAGGGGCATTTTGGTAATTTTACATAATTTCGCGTATTAGCTTTGAATTAAATTGTAGAATCAGTTGCTTGAGATGTTATTTACGATATGTAATTGAATTGAATAGATTTGGGCCATTTGGAGTCGGATACTCGTGGCAAACGTGTGGTCTCGAGTTGATTTTTGGAGCCGGTTCGAGGTAAGTGGCTTGTCTAACCTTGTGTGGGGGACTTTTTCTCCTTTAGGATTGATATTGTAATAATTGAAATGCCTCGTGCGTGAGATGACGAGCGCGCACTTGTGCTAATTGTTGGAAATCCGGTTTTTCTTTAAAAATATCCTTGAATTGTGTTCCTCCTTTCTTTGCTTACACTATTTGATATTTAAACCTGCTATAGCTTAGAGAAGCATGTCTACTTGACTAAATTGCTTTATCTGTGAACAATGCTAGGTTAGGATTACCCGCTTCACTTTGATATGAAATTGATCGCATTGGGTTCTGTTGTTGCTATGTATTTACTTTGGGACTACGGAACGGTATTCCAGGAGATCCCCCTGCACTTTATTTTGGGACTACGGGACGGCATCCCGGGAGCTCCCCTGTATGTTTACTTTGGGACTACGGAATTGCATTCCGGGAGATCCCCCTGCACTTTATGAGTTGGACTGCGGGACTGCACCTGGGAGATCCACTGGACATGATATTTATATTTGGGGACTACAGGACGGTATCCTGGGAGATCCCCGGTTGTTATTTCTGAGCTGAGTTATGTTCTTTCACTGTGTTTTGCTTGCCTTTGTAATAGTTGTTGTGGCCCTTTATATCATGTGTTATTTAATTACACTGTCATTTTACACTGTTAACCTGCATCTTATTTAACCTCAGTAGGGCCCTGACCTTCCTCGTCACTATCCAACCGAGGTTAGGCTTGGCACTTACTGAGTACCGCTGTGGTGTACTCATGCCCTTTCGCGCATGTTTTTCATGTGCAGATCCAGGTACTTCTACCCAGGTGTATCACCCTTGAGGCAGGGAGCATTTCGGAGACTTCGAGGTACATCTGCCGCGTCCGCAGACCGAAGAGTCTCCTTCTTTACTCTATCTGTAGTGTTAGCCCTTCTATCGTACTATTGATGTAGACATTTCTGGAGATTAGAGCACTTTACTGTATTCCTTTTTAGCTTCTGTTCCCGTGAGTTTTCGGGTTTTGGGATAGTATTGTAGAAGTTTGAGATATTGCACTGTATGTGCCGAGTGGTATTTTACATTTCATTTCCATTTTGTTAAAATCTTGGCTTTAAGTTATAATTTCTGTATGGTTTTCGATTGTTTTTCCGCACTTGTTAGGCTTACCTAGTCGTAGGGACTAGGTGTCGTCACGACAGTTCACGGGGGCGAACTGGGGTCGTGACAAGTTGGTATCAGAGCTCTAGGTTCATAGGAGTCACGGAACACAAGCCAGTTTATTGGAGTCTCGCTGATCGGTACGGAGACGTCTGTACTTATCTACGGGAAGCTATGTAACTATTAGGAAAATTCCACTTCATTTGATTTCCTTGTCGTGCGAGATTTTGACATCATAACTAAACTTCTATCTTTCTATTCTCTCACAGATGGTGAGGACACGCGCTACCCAAGAGGACCAGGCACCCGAGCCCCCTACTGCCGCCGTCAGAGGCCGGAGCCGGGGTAGAGGCCGAGGACGAGCTCGTGGTGCAGCCAGAGCATCCGCGCGAGCTGCCGCCGAGGTACCACCAGCAGTACCAGCCGGAGTCCAGACACCCGATACGTCTGCCACTACTACTCCAGCACTCCAGGAGACTTTGGCGCAGTTTATGAGTATGTACACCACTTTGGCTCAGGCAAGGTTGTTTCCCCTTGCTGCAGCCACATTCCAGGCCGGGGGAGGAGTACAGACTCCCGCCGCCCGCACTCCTGAGCAGCGAGTGCATGTTGAGCAAGCCCCAGAGGTTATATCTGCGCCGCCTGCAGTACCAGTTCAGCCCGAGGGTAGAGCAGCGGCTTCGGAGGATGAGCAGCGGAGACTTGAGAGGTTCAAGAAATATGATCCTCCTGTATTCAGTGGGTTAGCATCAGAGGATGCCTTGGGATTTCTGGAGGAGTGCTACCGTATTCTCCGCACTATGGGCATATCAGGATCGAGTGGGGTTTCCTTCACCACTTTCCATCTTCGAGGAGCCGCCTATCAGTGGTGGCGTGCTTATGAGTTAGACAGTCCGGATGAGGCAGCTTCCCTGACTTGGGCTCAGTTTTCAGATATGTTCACGAAGGAGTAGGTTCCCCAGAGTCTTAGGGATGCTTGGCACGTGGAGTTTGAGCGTTTGCGCCAGGGTACTATGACCGTCTCAAAGTATGTTGTCCGCTACATTGACTTGGCTAGACATGCCCCGGCTTTGGTTTCTACATTCTGCGAGAAGGTCCGCCGGTTCATTGAGGGGCTTATTCCCAGCATCAGATCTAGCACGGCTCGTGAGTTAGAGACGGATGTGTCTTATTAGCAGGCGGTGAGCATTGCTAGGAGGATTGAGGGTATGCATGCTAGGGACAGGGAGGAGAGGGAGGCCAAGAGGTCTCGAGAGTCGGGCCATTTTTCTGGTGCCCGTGCCCCAGCTGCAGGTCGTCATGGTAGGGGTCATATGGGTCGCTAGAGGTGGGCATATATCGGGTAAAACCGATAACCCGAACCGTTAATTATTTATTGGGTTATCGGTATTGGGTTATTGGGTTAACGATTCAGTAACGGGTTAAAAAAAAATTTTTATTGGGTTATCGGTTCGGGCTCGGTTTGGCAATTCTGTTATTGGTAAAACCGATAACCCAATAAGGATTAACTAATTTACTAGTTTACCCTTAAGTATATACATACTAGGGTTTCATAATTCATACTTCATAGTTCACTCTTTGATTTCCCCATTCTTTCTTAGTTTCTCCGCCTCACACCCTCACCAGTCAGCCTGTCAAGACTCAGGCCGGCGTCAGTCGCATTTCTCAGCTTCTTTATTTCACTCTTCAGCCGCATCTTCACTTCATTTCTCAGATCCATTAGATTCTTCAGTCGCATCTTCTTCACTCTTCAGTCGCATTTCTCAGCCGCATTCTTCAGCTTCATCTTGATTCTTCGTGTAAGTTTTTAGTTGCTTCATCTTCATCTTTCTCTTAGTTTGTTTAAAAGCATTCTGGCTCTGGATTTTTCTTAGTTTGTTTGAAAGCTGAAGTGAGATTTGTCGTGTATTTGTTATTCATTTAGATCCCTTGTATTTGCAGAAAGTGGCGAAGTAAAAATATGATTGATATTTTGTTTCTTCGTCACTGACTGATATTGGAATTTTTGTTTATATTTTTTGGGTTGAAGAATGAAAGATAGAAACTTTGGTTAATGTTTATTTTATTGGATATTGAAGTAAATTTAAATTCTTGTGAAATAGAACAGTTCTGAAAAGTGTTTTAGCAAAACAGTTCTTCAAATATTACTATAAAACTGTTTTAGCAAACCAGTTTTATACCGAAACTATTTTATACATTGCGAACCTGTTT